ACTTTCCCCGCTGTGATCAGCGGCATGTCGTAGGACTCGCTGGTCGCAGATTTAAAGATGACCTCGCTGCCATTCCCGCGTGGGACATCGATGTGGACGTCCTCGCCAAAGAAAGCTGTCCTGTGTTCTGTTTTTACTGGTAGAAGCAATCAAGATGTTTTTTATTAGATATGTTGAATTACTCTTTTTGTTAGTTTTTATACTTGGCTTTAACCTGAAAGCACAAACACTCTGTCTTTGTCATGTATATAATAAAATAATCCTCAAAGAGCGTTCTCAGGCGTGCATTAACATCCAAACAACCATTTTTACCTTTTGCCGATGCTGGCAGGACTGTGGGAAAACAACAAAAGATTAGTTTAAAATGAGTTTATTTTAATGCGCATTTCTTTTTAGTCTGCTGGATTATACAAAAACCTTTAAATCATTTCCTTTGTTCCGAGTGAAAAACCACACAGCTTCCACAGAAAGCATTAAAGCATTTGAAATGTAAATGCCGCCAATAACCACAGCTAACAATAGACCGGATACAAAAACAAAGAGCCAGATTCTTCATTACAGGCGAAATGAAAGGAAATAAGTGGAAATTAACTAGATCACAACGTGTTTTAGCTTCTTTGGTGAGGCTTTCACAGCATCCATGCTAATCACCCAGTTAAAACAAATGTGGTTTTGCAGGAAGTCTGTTTCAACAGTTCATCTATCTAAACTCTCTCCCTAGTGACTGATTATGTTCTTGCTTACCCGTGCAGAACAGGACGCTGAGCACTGCGGCGCCGATTACTTTCATCTTGAACAGTTGATCTGTGCACAAAAGAGAAGAGAAACCCACAAAACAAATTAAAAAAGGCTTTTTATAGCAGGATCGTGGCTCCAGGTTTTCAAAAAAAGCAACATTTCCCATAATCTTATTTGACAAGATATATTTGTTATCTTCTGTGTTTAATTTAGAAACACCTCGCTAAGGTAGAAGCATGCCAACTTCAATTCTTGTCCTCAAGCTGAGGAGAAGCACCCAACCCCACCCACCCCTAAATTCTCTGCACCGCTGTGCGGCATTAAGAGCTTTTCGCAAATTAGCTCGTTAAATATCTAAGAGTAGACTTCCGCAACACTCTTTGGCAAGAAAACCTATAGTGCTGTTGCAAAGTCAAATATATTATTAAGTCAAGTTTTATAGATAAAGTGTCTTCAAGACAAAAACGTGATGTTGTGCTGCGTGAGCTGAACAGCGGCTCCTCGCGTCTCCCGTGGTGCTGGGAGATAATCGGCTTTCCACTCACGACACAGGATCACAAACTGCAACGGAGGACGAGGGGAGGAATCAAGAGGAGAAAAAAGATGAAGAGTAAATGAAGAGAAAGTAGATATTTAAATGCAAGAGTGCACAGCCACTACTTTTGGGATGATGAGCTGGACAGGAGCCAGCTGGCACGAGGGGACTGACCTTTAGCTGCAACTGCACAGGCTTACACTAAGCAGTAGTAGCATAGTTATTAAGGTGGGATAATTAGATGAAAGATTAAGACAGACACGATGAAACAGCTAGAAACAAAAAGGACTAGAAAGATTAATAACATAAACTGGTTAATGCAAAAATCTAATGAACATTTAGGGATGTAGAGCATTTTTAGCAGCATTTTAGCAGCATTTTGCATTAACAACATGAAACCACGGTTTCCATCGTGTCTGGTATCTGTGGTTCAGGGTGGTGGTGGGGATTATAGTTTCTTATCATCAGCCTCCCTGAGTCTTGTTTCTGACTATGTCCATCTCTTACAAGCACAGTGTAGCCATCGACCAGCCGGAGAATGCACCAAGTCACAAAACTACATCATCCAGAACTACTTTCTTGGACATG